AGAGAGAGTTCAGAATGAAGAGTTTTATTCGTGTTTGTGTGTAAGTGATATGCAATGTGTTTGTTGATGTCCCTTGCTAAGAGAATGGGGGAGGGGTACTTATAGTACTGAATATGCGTAAACAAACAAGGCAGCAGTCCCTTAATTAAGGGACTGGTATCAATCACAATCCAGTCAGTAGTTGGACTGCCCTTTAATTAAGGGATCCCAAATCAAACGGTAATAATCAGTCATTTGAAAGGAAAGAAATCACAAAGTAAGGTATAATCACATAAGGAAACAGAGTAGCATAAANAATCACATAAGGAAACAGAGTAGCTTAAAGCATGTAATAAGGACTAAATACATGACCATCTAATTAAGGAAATAGGTCAGGCAAATCAATCAACAAATTGGTGTACATATATAAGGCAAAATATCATCGTAATTCTGAAAGAGTAGTTTTCAAAATAATGATCGAGATTGAAAACCTTAGGAAATCAGTATTAATTGAGGAAAGTATCCCATAAATTAAGGAAGAAATTCAAACTATAGGAAAATACGCGGAATCACCATTTGAAAGCAAGTATCACAGTCTCAAAGAAGGTTCGAAGAATTAGTATAAAAATCACCATGCAAACAATAAGAGAAACTTTAAGTGAAGAACGCAGAATGGTAGGGGAATGAAACACTGACAACAAAATCAAGGCAAGGAGCATAGAACTCGGAGAAGAACCCAGAAGAACACAAGACAAACAAATAACGCAAACCTAAGCAGACAAAGTTAGGGTTTCATCAGACTTAAGCAAAAATGTTTAGAAAATAATACTGAGAATCACAAATTATTACTCAAAATCAAAAATAAAGTGATTTCGAAAAGGGGTCAGAAGCCCTAGTTTCAAAAAGGGAACAAAATCGTTTAAAACTGGAGTAATCGTAAAGATCGAATAGAAAATAGTGCAAAACATAAAAGTACAAGTTAAAATCGTTAAAAAAATCAGAGATTTGAGGGGTTTGGGTTAAGATTAGGGTTTCATAAGAAACCAGTGAGAGGGGTAAGAGAAACCTGGCCGTGAAGCTCAAAGATAATGGTGTATTTAGCATCATCGAACCAAAATCATCGGAGAAAGGCCGGAATCGGACCCCCAGCGAGGCTTCAACGACCATCTTCATGGTGGAGGCTTTTGGGGTTTCAAACCTTGGAGAGAAGCAACGATACAGGATCCATGGTGGCTAGAGGTCGAGATAAGTGAGGACGAAGCATGGCCGGAGAGGCGATGAAGCTCGTCGGAGAAGGAGGAGGGAACCACAAGGTTCTAGAGAGAAGGGAGAGCATTAGTTAGAGAGAGAGTGAGATAGAGATAGAGACCGATCTCTGAGAAATGAGGGGTCGGGTCTCAATTGAAATTAGGTCGAATTGGGGTGCAATTTGGGCTGTAATTGAAATGCAACTGGGGCTAGGTTTTAAATAGCCACTTTTCTCCTTTCTATTTTATAAAAATAGTAATAACGATTTTAAAAGCAAATTAAAAATACTAGGTAGCCAAATATTATATAAATATTAGTTTAAAAATATTGTAGCAAATTTTATTGTTATAAAATGCTATTAATTACAAAATAGGCTATAACTACAATTATATGCAGTTTAGCTTTAAAAATGCCAAATAAATTGGTGAAAATATGCAAAAATTACCTTAATTATATTTTGGTGTAAATATGAGAATGAAATAAGTTATTCATCAAAAATAATAATTTTTGAGAATAGTTATTGGATTTTGTGGTATTAAAATAGGTAGTAAATTGGTTTAAAAATCACAAAAAATACCAAAACTCTTGGGTGTGCTTATATATGCACATATATGCTATTTTAAAAATATTTTGGGTATAAAATATATAGGGAAAAATTGGGTATCAATACACTTAAGGTCAAATAGATCTAAAGTAAAAAAATTGCACTTCAGATGCACTTAAGGCCAAATAGGTCTGAAGTACAAATTGCCCAAAAATAGAAATTTGTTCTTTGAATTTCAACAATCTAATATGAGATTTAACACTTAAATCTACTCCAAATGAGCTCAAATTTGAAATATAACCTCCAAATATCATTAAGAACAAAACCCAATTATCAATTTGTCAAAACAAAAATAAATCTAACAAACCTATTTTGCAATGAAGAAGAAGAAGAAGAAGAAACCCTAAGTAATAGTAACAAATAAAGTGCCACATCAGCTCACTGCTGTATAATACTATAAACTACCTTAAAATATGCTCACAAATACCATATGAATTTACCGTCACCTTTATTTTTACAGCCTAGAAGAAGAAGAAGAAGAAGAAGAAGAAGAAGAAGAAGAAGAAGAAGAAGAAGAAGAAGAAGAAGAAGAAGAAGAAGAAGGAGGAGGAGGAGGAGGAGGAAAAGGAGGAGGAGAAAAATGCCTGAAGTTGTCTAAACTTTGAGTATTATCAAAAAACAATTAAAAGCGGATACAAGTTAAATGGCGCACCAAATATGGCGCACCGTCTTATTAAAGGGATTTTTTCATTCTTATACAATATTTGAAACTTATTTATCAAAATTGTCCTACTTTTTGTATATTACCCACCCTAAATAAGGATTACTTACAAATTATATACAATCCTTCATTAGTTCCTTAAATTAGGAGATTTGGTTACATTCTTTTCCTTTTTTCTCTTCTCTCCTCTTTCCTCACCGCCGCCTCTCTCATCAATTTTTCTTTCTTTCTTCATCACTCGCTTCACAATCTCTCTCTCTCTCTCTCTCTCTCTCTCTCAATCTCAATCTCAATAAGGTAAGCCTAAAAGTTATCTTCTGCGAATCAACCTATTGAAGTAACCTCCAGTTTGTCACTGGTTTGCCTTTTTTTTTTTACATTGCTACCCACTAAGCATGAAATTTTAACAGTGCAAGAATGTTATTGAATTCAAACTTGTGACACTTCGGTTTGTATTGTTCTCTCTTGAAAATCGAATTATCCTGTAGTTTGATAGTCTTTTTCAAGAGATGAATTCAGCACCTAGTAAGAAGGTCGTAGGAATTAAAGATTCGAACGCTAATCTATCATAAAACTTTGAATTTGAATTTAGATTTTTAAAAATTATTATATGTTTGGATTGGTTGTTGTTGCAAACAATTAAGAATATTGTTTGAAGTTTATATCTCAATTTTGAGGGTGTTTGGTGAAGATTAGACTTGATTTTGGCTGAATTTTCAGATTAAAACTCGAAGAAGAAAAAGAAGAAGAACACATGACATATCATATGCTTACAAAATTGTAGTAAAGTTGTATCGTAATTGTATGTAAATTATATTTTGTTGTAGTATTATATTTTTTTATTTGAATGTTGTATGAAAGTTAAAAAATAGTTGTATAATATATGAATCGTTGTATAAAATTTGTATTTAAGTTATCAATACTATCTTTTTACATAAAGTTGTTGATATGTATTAGAATTGTATAGGAACTTGATTTGGAAGGGTAATAAAGAAAAGAATCGGAACAGCGCCGGCGTCGGTGATCAACGATCTATTGTCGGAATCGTTCTTTGAGATCAATCTTAGATCTCAATTGCTTTTGTTCGTGTCTGTTCGGAGACGGAGCTCAGCTTCGTAACGAGGTTCTTCACCGCCCTTCGTTTGACCTCCATTTCCGGCCTTCTCCAATATATATTAGGAAAATTTCAGCATTACTATTGGTTGAATTGATCACAATTTCCTTTAAATAGCGAATGTAAATGTTAACACTTTAGATACGCCATTGTTGACTTTGTGTTAGAGCGTTTGGTGTGCTGCGGTTTTCGAAGGGCAGTCAAACTATTGAAAATTACCATTTTGGACTTTAAAACCTTTTATTTTGATGAAACTCAATGAGAATTTCATAATATGTACATATTAAATTTCCAACTTTACATTTGTTGGAATTAACAAAGCTAATGGGGGAATGATTTGTATACAATATACAACTTATTTATAATTTATCTAAAACTTTCATATATCATTCTTACTAGCTAAATATAACTACAACATCATACAATTTATATACAATTTTAATACAAATTTTATACAATATATCTTTTGTACGTATTTTGTATATGATTTGTATATGTTTTGTATGCGGTATCTTCTTCTTCTTCTCCTCTAAAATTCCAATTAAAACTCCTCTCTTAATATAATTTTGATACATATCAACAACTTATCTGTAAAAAAATATTATTTATAATTTAAATACAAATTTCATATAACGATTCATACAATATACAACTAATTCCCAACTTTCATATAATATTTAAATTTAAAAAATATGAAACTACAATAGAATACAACTTAAATACAATTTATATACAATTTTAATATAATTTGTATGTATATTATATGGCATGTCAATCTGAAAACCAGCAAAATCAACTTTAATCTTCGCTAAACACCCTCAAAATTGAGAAATAAACTCTAAAGAATATTTCCAATCATTTGCAACAACACTCAATCCAAACAAATAATATTTCTTGAAAACCTAAATTCGAATTTAAAGTTTCAAAGCTTTTTAATGGTTGTCAACGGTGGAGAGTCAAATACCTTCAAAATTTATTGATTGATAATTTCAATTCGAACACTAATTTTGCAACATAAAAGGAAATTACTAAGTTAAAACTCTATATTAAAACAATTGAAATTCATTGATGAATTCCCTGGAAAAAAAAGAGAGGATAAAAACAGAGAAAATGGAAGGAAAAAAGATTTGGGAAAAAGAATAGAGGAGAGGATGAGAGAGGCGGATAGAGATAAAGAGAGACAGTGAGAGAGAGTGTGCAGGAAAGGGGAAAAGAACCGATTCTCTATTAAATTTCTATTATAAAGGAATACTTATTAATACTTATTGGTATATAATTGCTAAATTATATATGCTCATGTAATTAAGTTAAAATTTGATTAGGAAAAGGTAATAAAGTTTGATATATCTCCTTATTAAATTTCATGGCACGTAAGGCTTGATTGGGTTGGGCTGGACTAGCCCATTCTGACATCATATCAGCGGCATAATGGAAAATATTCAATTTAGTAGCAGTATAGTAAAATATTTGCCCTACGTCTGGTTGCCAAAGGTCGAAGACGAAGAAGTTCAATCAGGTAATGCGGTTTATATACGAATCTCGGAATTCTCAAATCGTTTCGTTTAGTGCAAATAACCTTAAAAACCAATTTTGGAGGGTCACAGTTTTGATGGTAGAAAAGAACGCTCTACAATTTGAAAGTGCTTTCGTTTTCGTATTAATTATGTATCCGCAGTTTGTTCTCTGATGCCTTGTGTGTGATATTACTTCTGTTTTGAATTTAGCAGCAATTTGAATTTGGATCTTCACACATTAAAAGATGGTACGTTTAACATAATTGCTATAGATATTAGGGTTTTTATCATTAATATTGTTCTTTTGGTTTGATTATGAAGCTGCGGAATGATTTATCCCTGCCTTGATTTTTTTTTTTTCTGTCTCAGCTCCCACTCTCTCTGCTCAAGACTGCACAGGGGCATCCCATGGTATCTCTCTCTCCCTCTGTTTGTGGTGTGTGTGTGTTCATGTCTCTGTTATATGTCTCTTAACTGCAGAAACAACAACAACTACTACTACTATGCTTCAACCCCAAACTTGTTGGTTTCACCTATACTATATGCATCCTTGATATCTTTCTTTTTTTTGTTTTTTCTGACATTGATACCTATTATGTTCTATCTGGACTCTTATCATTCCAATGCCCAATAATGTCTTTTGAAAACACATCAGGGTTTTCTAGAATTTTCCCCCAGGGCTTTGTTCAAGTGACAAAGTTTGAGGGGCTTATGACTTAGGTCACAGGTTCGAGCCTTCCACCATGCAAACTAAGCCTAGTGGTTAAGTTGAGAGCTTTTCGCCTGTGACAGCACTGGGCAGAGGGATGGGGCCATTGACCTTTTGATGGTTGTGGTTGGTCCTAAGGATTGGCTCAGACGGATTTCTCAGTCATTATAAAAAAAATGGGATTTTCTAGAGGTTCTATCAATTTCAGTCCTATCCCTACAATGACATATAGAAGAGGACCCATTATTTGGAAATGAAGGATGCAATGTCGCCTTTAATTCGATCAAATGGGATCGAATATCTACGGATCAAACAAGGAATATATCGAAACAAAACTAACCGAAAATCAATTGAAAACCAAATTGAATTAATCAATTCGATCAGTTTGTTATTGTTTAATTCAATTTGGTTTTCAATTGATTTTCGGTTAGTTTTGAAATGAGTTCATGTTGATTTTTTTGGTCCAATTTTCCAATTAGGAAAAGATGTACCACCTATCAAAACAAAGAATAAAAAATATTCCGTATAATTTTGTCTAAGATATCAGTATTCATGCGTAGTTAATTGATTTATCGATAATGGTATGCATGTCTTTGAACTATCCAAAAACACAAATACTGAATTGCCATATAAAATTTTCTTACCAACGTGAACACACTCATAATTCAAATTAATTACAGTCACAATTGCTCAATTCAATTCAATCCAATCAAATACTAATTTAATTCGATCTCAATACCAAATATTCAATTGTGTGAAGAAAGCATCATTCACAAGGAAGAAACGAGGTGTTCATGTAAAGCATCATTGCAAGAAATGTAAATGAGGATAGGGTATCAGCAATGGGAGTGTCTGGAGTAAGAGGTATGTACAAAGAAGAGAGGAAAAAAAAAGAAAATTAAGCAACAATAATTTTATCTCATTGTGGATGTTTATATTATGGGAAGTGGTAATTGGAATGGGAATAGGTGGGTGGTATTCAGTAAAGAAAATTCTGAAAAGAACAAGGACATGAAAAAAGATGATGTGCGGAACAGAAATTGAATTGTGTTATCATGCTGATTCAAATTCTCGGCTGGAGGGTGAGCAGACCTTTAAGGATGAAAGTTCAACCATGAGACCCCATGTATATTTTGTGACATTGGATTCACACTTCTCAATGTTATATGATTTTACAAAATAAGCGCTATTTTACATATAGGTTTCTGCCAGGGGCTAAGGGTGCACAAGCACCCCCTTCTATGTGAATCCTCTCCCAGTCCCTACTGATATACAAATTTCTAACCAAACTTCAGAAACTCCGGGCAAACACCTGGCCTAGAATTGATGTATTAGCTCAAATAGTGAACAATCTTTCTAGTATTACTCCCTCGTCCCAATTTATGTGGCGTTGTTTGACTTGGCACAGAGATGACGAAAGAAAGGAAGAGTTTTGAAACTTGTGCTCTAAAACAAGCTTAAGGTATTTGTGTGCTATAAATCAGTTCAGTAAAGGTAAATTGAGAATTTTCAAGTTAAATTGTTTCTAAATATAGAAAGGTGACATTTTTTTTGGGACAAACAAAAAAGCAAGTGCCTCTTAGATTGGGACAGATGGAGTATTTCATAATAACCTGAACTATTGAATAAATGGTTTATCCAAATTGAGAATTATTGTCTTGTTGAAGTTGCTAATGAGATAAGGGATCAAGTAAAGTTCATCTTTCTCTGGTCTTTTAAGCTTTTTGACTGGTTGCTTATGTAATAGCTGAAGGAGAATAATTTTTCTTAAAATTTTTTAGTAGAGTTAACAATGAAGGTGTCTATTTTGTGTTGCATAAGTTTTCAATTACTTCAATTTGCTATAGCATCTCCAACATGAGTTCAAGCCTCGATAATTCGACGTAACTGTGGAAGTTCAAAATAATCCATTGGTTTATTAGAGAATCCAAGTTTTTACCTTGTACTCTTAAACTTGTTTTAATCTGGAGATTTCTGCTTCGTCTTGCAGTTGGTGGAACTAAAAAATGGGGAAACATATAATGGTCATTTGGTCAACTGTGATACCTGGATGAATATCCATCTTCGTGAAGTTATCTGTACTTCAAAGGTAAGTTTATTAGCTTATGTTCTTGATCCTATTTATGTTATAGCTTCTTCTTTCTATGTCATAGCTAAAGTTTTTTTATGTGGTGTAGTAATACCTGATTTTAAAAAGGAATGCAGGATGGAGATAGATTTTGGAGAATGCCAGAATGTTACGTTCGTGGGAATACAATAAAATACCTTCGAGTACCTGATGAGGTTTGATTGTTTCTTGAATTCCAATGATATGCCTTCGTCGACTATTGTTCTGATTCTACACATTGTGCTAGTTACAGGGTAAATATGACCGACTTATCCCTTTAAGAAAAAAAGAGTGAATATTGCAATTTGACTTGGGAACAAAGGCAAAGAATTTGGTCATATTGTAGTAATAAGTGCAGGTAACTGTTATTTTTTATTGGAATAAATATTAAAACTGTTATTGGTCATTGCTCGACTCCCAGCCGAAAATGTTTGGTGAGATGCCCCATCTTCTTTGTGGTTGCTTCTCGTTGTGAATTGAGTTGTTTGAACTCCACATGTTTCAACACATTGCCTTTTAGGTACTTGAGTATTATTCTGATATAATACCTACTCCTCTTTTATTGCTTGCTTTTGTGCTGTAAGTTGTTTGAACTACCAACATGGAAACATATTGGCCTTACACATTCCACATGGTTTGAGGGGCTGTAGTACACTGTAATGAAATCGTGATACTAGCTAGTCTTGATGCAATTGGACTTAAGGGAGCTAAAACTTATCTTTAGGTTTATGGGTTGTTGTCTTTAGAATACAGGAAAGAAATAAAAAGTACGAGAGATAATTGTTAGAATGTCCCACAGTGGTGAGGGAATAGACTGTTTTCTCCTCATATAGTTCTTAGTCAATCCTCATCTCTTGGGCTGAGATTTTGAGGTTGATTTAGGCTCACTATTTTTTTTCTTTACAGCGTACCAGAGCTAGATCCATCCCTACTCTTTGTTTATCAGATGTTGGGCCCCATATTATATTTTTCAAGCTCTAGATGTCCAGCTCTCTGCCTGCAAAGGAGGGGCTGTTTGAATGTCCTGCATTGGTTGAGAGGATGAGTTGTTGTCTCCTTGTATAGTTTTTAGAAATCCTAACACCAAGAGCTATCTTTTGGAGATGATTTACGTTCAATGTTCATTTTGCAATATGGTATCAGAGAAGGCACAAGTCCTAGGTTGAAGTCTCACAGCCTCCTATTGTCAAAAAGATTCTCACATGTTTGGCTCATGAAAAAGAATCAGGCTCATACCTGAGGCGGTATGTTGAAGATATAATGAAGTAAATAAAAGCGTATCCTCTCTAAGACTCTAACTGCTTAAGTTTTTAAATGAGATAGTCACATAATTCAATAGTAACTTGCTAGCAGTCTTAGCACATGGAATCAGAGTCTTCCTTAGTTTACTAACTTTAAATGTTAATCTAAATTGCCATCCAAAGAACTTTAAGCAATAATAGGGTTGGAAACTTCATCTTGGGACTTATCAAGTGAAACGTGATATCACTCATTATGGATTTCCACATTCAAAAAGTTGTTTCTACCTATAAATGTTGTAAATGGATTTCTTGTGATGAAATTAATTGCTGATTGGATGATGAAGTTTGTTCTTTTTCCAACATTATTGCCTTGTGGAATATTTAATATCCTAGTGTTGAACCATTGTTGACATAGATACTATTGCTTGACGTGGTAATTAACTATGATTTGTTTCCACGTTAATATCAAAGGACATTCTGGTATGGAGGAAGTTTGAATATTATGGTTGGATGCAACTTAGTCTAGTTAGATGAAGTGTTATTAAAAGCCATCATATCGTCGCTTAAAGTGACGAAGTGATGCGAAGCGAGGGTTTATTGCTTCATGGGTGAAGCCTTGCACTTTGTAGTAGTGTGTGCTTCAAACAATGATGTGCAAATAATCCCAATGTGAAGCGGCAGGTTTGTCAAACTCAACTTTGAAGAGCTGGATTAATATCATTGTTATTGTACATTGGGTACTGAAATTAGTTATTTTAACTGCAATTTTGATCATTGTAATACTAAATTCATATATGTTTGATATTCATTTATGTCGTGAGTTGTCTTATTCACTTCAAAGAAACATGCGTTATGCTGCTTGCTTTTAACTTCAAGCTCCATGGACCTTATGAAAAAACTTGTCATCTCTTTGCGCGTTTCACTTTTAAAACTGTGGTCTGTTGAGACTTCTTAGGTAGAAATGCAACTTTCTGAAGATGACTTCAGAGATTGGTTCACTTCTGACCATACTTGTGAAATTCATCCACTTGCAGTTGTCTGTTAAACAAAATAGTTGGGCTTAGCATGCTTTCTCATTTGGATGTACTTTTACAGCGTGTTTTTGTTGACATCAAAAACTTATTGGATCAAGTTCATATAAAATTTGGGCTGAATCCTAAATTCAAGATCCATTGACCTTACCCAACTGTAGTTGGATTTAAGTTAAGGAGGCGGCAGTTCAATTGAATTCTCTTTGCCAAAAAATTGTGCTGCGCAAATAGGGCAAAAACAAATTCCTGTGGTTATATATAAATAGTTGAATCCCCTTGACATAAGGAAAGATTCTAGTGTAGCGGTAAAAGGGGTTAAAAATTGTTTTAGGTCATAGGTTCAAATCCTTTGTTTGAGACTACAGTATTTTCTTGAATCCCCTTGTATGAAATTTTTGGCTCTGCCACCGGTTAAACTTTGTAGATGTTTGAACCATTTTATTTGCTGGGAGTAATGGTTTGTTTACTTCCACAAGAAAGGGGAAAACAGTCACTGGATTTTAGTATTTAGCATCTGGTTGGACTCCACATGTGATCTGGAAAGTATGTAGTTATACGTGTGATGTCCTTGTCTCTCTTTTTTACTCTGTTAATTTTCTACTTTCTCTGTGTTTGGGTGGTAAACTGCGCTATGTGTAATTTTTCCAGGTAATTGATAAGGTTCAGGAGGAGGCAAAAAGCCGTACAGGTACTATTTTGGATATTATTGCTTTATGAAAGTTTTGACCTCTTTTATTTGAGCTTTTGTCATCGTGGTTATTCTTGATATGCACTAGAATTGGTGCCCGACATATAGCTTAACTACTTCATAGATTAATTGTTCTAACTGTCAGGCGTTTCCCTATTTCACCATCTTGATAAACTAGAACTTGTCCATTATGTTTTGATCATCTTGGCATGCAATTTGGCAGCATGTATGCTCTTTACAATGGAATATCATAGAATGGCCTTTCTTCTCTAAGCGCTTTCCACCGAAAACATATTCATGAGCTGCACTGATCTTTTATGTAATACCATTGAATGTAATGTCTTTTATTTTGCACCACTGGTGATGACATGTCTTCTATTATGAATGGAAGGTATTCTATTATAGTGTTAGAGATAGAAAATTGTGGTCTCCTTATCATATTCCTTATGGTTTGTGGATATTGGTTATTCATCTTTATTCAGCAACTTGCAAGCTATACGCCACTGGATTACAGCTTTACTCATTTGGTATCTACAAGTTATATTAACTTTGTGAAGAATTTTTTGTTAGACCTTGTGATATTTGACATCAAATTAAGTAACCAACACGTGAAAATTGAACTGCTATTTACCTAATGATGACATGCATTTTCTCCCTGGTGATTAATACCTGAAAGTACTGTATGTTAATGGTTTTGCAGATAGAAAACCGCCTGGTGTAGGACGTGGAAGGGGAAGAGGTAGAGATGACAGTACTGCGGGGAGACAAGCAAAAGGAATTGGGCGTGGGATGGATGATGGAGGTGCCAAAGGCCGGGGCAAAGGAGGACCTAGTGCCAAGTCTGGTGGCAGAGGTATGACTGAATGAAGCGACTAAAAGTTAATTCCTGATCCCGTTAATACCCTTAGAACATGATGATATTTAGTGTTGACTATAATATCCAAACCCATGATGGGTTTAAGTAGTAAGAAAATGGGTATGGTTAATTTTGGCTTGTGGGTATCAAAAAGCACATTTTATTGTTTGCTATAACCCTTGGGTGCCCAAGAATCGATGTAAGACGTCTCTTTCTTCTCATAACCAGCCAACCAGGTCTTGTTTTTCCTTCCATTATTTTAAACCCACTTTTCTCTCTCCAATAACCAGGTTTCATTTTCCTTCCATTGTTTTAAACCCACCTTCTCCTTTTCTCGTAATTGGTTTAGACTCATTCTCTTTGCTACCTTTTTAATTATTTGGATGATCTTTGCTATTGGAGAAGAACTTCTTTTATTTTTGTAAGATTCAAACTTTATCTTCCACAATAACAAACCAAGATCATCTTGTAATATAAACATCGTCGAATCAAGAAGTCAAGCTGAAAAGTGAAAGAAAAAACACATTGTTGTGAGTTATGACAAAAGACAAAGTTGAATATAATTAAGAAAAGGAGATTACTTTACACAAGCAAAACTTGTTTGTTTTAAATAAAAAAGTAATTTCTTAGAATTTTGACATGTACACTGAAAGTGAAAATATTTTTGGTTAACTTAGTCGGCGTTTGGACATAAAAATGTAATTTTTGAAAAAAAGTAGTTTTGGAATTAAGTTGAGAAAAGATATTTAGAATTTGAAGTTGTGTTTGGACATGCATTTCTCTTGAAAAAATATTTTTGTGAGGGAAAATGAAATTTTACATGAGAAGTGGTAAAACCCACTTTTTCAAACTTGGAAACTCATCTTCAAAAAAATTGTCAAAAATTCCGTAAAATGTATAACCAAACAAGTGTTGAAAAAATAAAATTAGTAAAAAAGGAAAAATTTTGCATGGACAAATGGGTCCTTAGTTTTAAACCGTAAAATATGTTATGTGCACTTTGATGCTTAAAAAAAGGATATTCCTTTCTCACCAATCACATGCAAAATTGGACTGTTTTATACTTGGCCAATATGTTGTTCTTATGACGAAGTCATCAGAGTATTCCAGGTAAGATATGAGTTTGCATTTTATGCCTAAATCATTGCACACTAACATTACACCTATTACAAGAGGTTTCAAGTGGATTTTGATGACTTCATTTGGGACTGAATCCTTCTAGGTTTACACAAAATGTGTTGATTGAATATGCAGCCAATTTTATAAGAAGCCATTAGCGTTCATTCACAGCCAACCAAATCCACCCATGTGCCAATACTTGATTTCACAGTTTTTTGAAATATGTTAAGCACAGATCTTTCTCTAGTACTTTCAAAAGTAGCCTGAGCTCATTTCAGGATTGACTGCTATATCAATAAACAAGCTTTATGTTCAAGAAATTTCTAATACTTACTAAGTAAACAAAGAATGCCTATTTATTTTTATGTCATTGATGAATCTGGGTTGGATTTCTCATATAGGTGGAGGTCGCGGACGTGGCTAGTAATCTTTCATCGAGAGACCAGGAAGCCAGGTGACAATTGCCACCTTTTAAGGCATGCTATATGTATTTTGTTTGTCACCTAATTCTAAGGCACTTGAAGGATGAGAGGCCACTTCCAGTTATTCTTAGTTTGAAAGTAATGTAGTTAGGCTTGAGCGGATCATTTCATTTGACCATTGCTTTACAATTGTGAAAAAACTGTCTGCAAGTTCGTGTTATATTTATGAAATCCCAGATTTAAAGACTTTTTCCGCGGTGCAAGGCAAGAGTGCTACTAACTATCTGACTCCATGATCAGATTATACATCAAGATGGCTTTCTTTTTCTGTTTTCCCTTTGGGAAAGTCCTTTGAGGGGTGATTTTTGGGTGTGGTTTTTTTTTTTTGTG